CATAAATACATCTTTGGATTCTTTACACTTATTTTGATTTTAATTTGATCATTATGTGTGTAAAACGTCATTATTTGGTATTATCAATATTATTCAAGATAGCATTTTTTGTCAGTAAAATACCATTTTTTTAAGTGTCGGATCTGGCAACACGTTGTAATGGCTTTGTTTACATTTTGTAATAATTGTCAAGATGTTACTCTTTTATTTCCTAGTTCTATAATCGTTATAAAACTGAAAATATATATTTAAATGAAAATAACTGATAAATTACACATAAGTTATGCTTTACAAGAAAATTATAAGAAAACTCACTATAGGCAGATAATTGGACCCTTGTGCAAATTAAGAAATGCCAAAAAATATATATTTTGTGCTCTTTTATATACAAAAAACTAGGTTATTTATTTCCAATTTAGCGTAATATATTTAAATTACATCAGTTGGTATGCATTTCTCTTGAGGATTAACAAGATAGTATTCATCCGGAACTGAAATCTTTCACCACAAAACATGAAGAGGGTGTTATGTCTATGATAGTTCTTGTAGCCAAACACTGCAAAACCTGGCGTTTTGCTAGTAACTAAACTCCCTAAAATAGTAGGTTTAAATGTACCAATAATAAATGTATTAATAAAATAATTGGAAATTGGTGTATAGAAATAATATTAAATTTTAAGATAAATATATCTACAGGGTGTTTCAAAAAGGTATGTCATAAATTCTACCTCAGATAGATTATCAAAAAATAAGTGTAATTGGCTATATTTACCTATATCAAAAACTGGCTCCCAAAAAAGTTACAGGGCGTTAAACTAACATTCAGAAAAGTTGGGGGTTGGGTACCTTTTAACCCCCCTGTATTTTTTTTACATAAAGAAACTTGTTTTATCAATCTTAAAATCAAAAAGAACTATAAATTTTTAATTTTTTTTTATAGCGAAATGAACTTTGTATCTTTCTTAGTTAAAGAGCTATTTACAATTTTTTAACTGAATTTTTAGAGCAATCCGTCCGTCCTGGACTTAATATATAAACAAAACTAAGAGTAGGTCAGGAGTTATTGTACAAAAAACGCATATAAAAATCAGTGGTGTGTCTAGGGCTGTGCTTAAGCCGCCCCTGCAAAAACTACCGCTTTTATTTATATTTTTGTAAAAGAGGTATTTATAATATAAGATTGGAGACATAAAACTGGTGTGCAACGCGTCCTCATGGGTTTACCATGCCACTGATAAAAATAGACGTTAGTTTCAAAATTCATTTTTATTAAATTTAATAGTAATTAAAAAAAAATATTTTTTTAATTTTAAAATAAACAAAAAATTAACAATAAAAAAAACACTTGACAATAATTATTATACATATTTTATAAACTATTTACCTTAGTAAATGTTCAACATGTCCTTGAATACAAAAATATAAATAAAAGAGGTAGTTTTTGCAGGGGCGGCTCAAGCACAGCCCTAGACACACAACTGATTTTTATATGCGTTTTTTTAAATGTTAGTATGACGCCCTGTAACTTTATTAGGAGCCAGTTTTTGATATAGGCAAATATAGCCAAATCCACTTATTTTTTGGTAATCTATCTGAGAAAAAGTTTATGACATACCTTTTTGAAATACCCTGTATAAAGTTCTAAGCACTATCAGGAAGATATTAAAATAACTTAAAAAGTCGCTTTTTAATATTCAAGACATAGGCATATTAAAAATGTGCTACGAAAGTAACGTCATGCGCGAGACTGACCGAATTTCGTATCGTTAACCACTTCACTTGTATTTTTCCACTATGGTATACAAAGAGATTCTTAATTAGATTAATATACCTGAATATTAGAATACTTTACTTAACTTTAATCTATAATAGTATCACATATATTCTAAAAAACATGTCGCTCCTTTCTTTTTCGGGAAGTCGTACATTTTTTGTTATGTTAAAAACACGACTCCACACGCGCAAAGCCTCGGGCAACAGCTAGTTAATAATAAATGTATAATTTTAATTCTAGGCTTACTACATGATGGTCATCAAAGGAAGGATCAAACACGGCGAGACCGTTTTGATACACGCAGGCTGTTCAGCGATAGGTCTTGCAGCTATATCCGTAGCTTACAGCTACGGATGTCAAATATATACGACGGTTCAAACAAATCGACAAAGGGTGTATCTAAAGAAACACTACGTATTCGTAAGTAATTCACGTACTATTTAATGTTTTTTATTGTGTAAAATTGTAAATTACAACTTCTTGAAAGTTTTTATTTCATACATCAGGGTTTTATTGAAATACTCGTTAATGTAGATCTTCAACTGATTAAATAATATTTAGGTCAGTAATTAAAGGAGTAATTACATTTTGAAAGTTTATGTTAAATGAGGCATACGCCACTGAAGTCACAGACTTCGTCTACTAATTTAATTTTCATATTCTAGTTGGAACTACTCAATAACTAATTTTTTGGTATTAAAAGGAATACCAAAAAATCTTTTAATAATTTTGCATCTGCATATATAAAACTATTTTCACAAAAAATAAACAACACCATAATTGCCGAACATTTATACCCCTAACCTCTTAAAACATTACATTTTTATGTTTAGTATTATAGTTACTATATTTATAAATTTGTTATTTGTTTAAATAATATTTATATGTATTTTTATTTTATGAAAATTAGAACAACTTGATTGTCCACATATTCTGGGAGCACTTCAGATAGCATATACAGTTTATGAAACCGAAATGTGAACGTTAAAATTTGTATATGGTGTAATTTCAGAAGTGCCGATGCATTTAGCTGTACCTCAAAAGTCGAGGGCTATAGCAAAATTACAAGAAAATTGGTTTTGAAGTGAAGTAGTGCTAAATTAAGTATCAGTAAAAGTTGTATATTTTACGTTAAGAAACACTGACAAGAAGAAAAAAGATTGCGAAGATCTTTTTGATAAGGTATACGGAAGGTATCTAAAGAAAATGAAGACAATGCTCTCGTACAATATATCCGTCAATATAAAAAAATAGTTTTTAAGAAACTTTCTATGTACTGTGGTACTTACAACCCTTTCAACTATATCAACTATATTGATACATAGAGCAAGGCTAACCTAAATGATTATTATTAATAAAAGAAATTCACATATTTTAAAATTTTAAATTTGAATGTGCTACATCTTACATGACAATATATATCAAAACTATTCATTGAAATTTATTATCAAAGCAAAATATTTACATTTTCTTGAGGAGATGGCGCTGGAACACGTTTGTTATTTCGATTTGTATAAGATTGTCGAGAAACGCGATATATACCGCTCTGCATGCTTAGAAGTTTTACAGCGTGCAAATGTGTTTTCATCTTTTATGTTTTCCATTTTTGTCATATATTTTGAAGTAAAAAGTATTTGACAGCCCTGTAAACAGCTAATACCTCTTGGCACATAGAACGTTTGGGAAATCGTTTCAACAAAAAATGGCACTTTCAACGTTTGGAATTTCCACTGTTCACATAAGTTTTATAATAAAATAACGAATGCTCTTTTTTCCTCTACTTAATAAAAATATGACAACGTTGCTCGATATATATTTAAAATTTTGAGGTGGCACCATATAAAAGTTCGTGAACTGTTTTGATGTAATGTTGGTTGCGTTATTATGGTTAAAATAAAAAAAAAAATTCTACATATAGAACTTGTAAATGAAACTAAAAAATTAAATATTTCTTGTATGGAGCCTCTATTGGGAATAGGTATATTCCCTTGGCGACGTTGTCAATTACATTAAATCTGTAGGCTGGCTCACGAGCTAGGAGGTGTCTATCATCTTAGAAGGATGCACAATGCGCCTAGTGAGGCCTAAGTGCCGTGGGGGGTAACCCACCCTCCACATGTTACAGATACAGATAGGTATATTCTATTTTCTGGAATAGTTTTTATAGGGATTTTTTATGACTTTTAACAAATCAAATTTTCACAATTTTGTTTTTATTCCATCTTCTCAATTTTTCACTCTTCAACATATTCCGGAAATAGTTCAATGCAAGTAGAATATTGTAAAAGAAAATCCGCATAGATTTATTGCCTAAAAAGCCCGTTTTATAGTAGAAAACTTCTCCTATGCCAATACAATTGCTAGCGCCGCCTTAAAGACATTCGCTATAGGAGGTTTGTCCAGAAAATACGTACAAAAGTGTGATAATTAGTTTATTTTACAATTATTCAGGTATTTTAATATGGTGTCCTTTAAAGTACTCCCCCTGAGATAAGATGCACTTCTGCCAACGCCGTTTCCACTGTTGATAAGATCTCTGAAAGTTTTCAGTTGTGAGGCTCTTTAGTTGCCGTGTCGTTGCTACCTTAATGGCTTCCACATCCCCCAAGTAAAATCGTGCCACCCCCGAAGCACCATTTTGCATTGTCGGAACAGGAAGAAGTCGCAAGGGGTTAAATCGGGTGAATAAGGAGGATGTTCTATCACAGTGATTGGGCCAAAAACTCACGCACAACGAGAGACGTGTCAGCAGGCACGTTCTCATGATGAAAATCCACCTGCCCCCTTATGAGAAATCTGGAGGGATAAATTCCTGGTGAACAATGCCCAGAGAATCAAAGAAAACAATCAACATTCTTTTCACATTGGACCTTGATTTTCTCGACTTTTTTGTGCTTGGTTCCCCTGCTTGTTTCCAAGACCAAGACTCGTCTCCAGTGATGACCTAGTTGAGAAAGTCGCCCCTTTCCTCTGCTTCCAACCAATCTTCAAAGCAAGCAACCCTCCTTGCTTTCTTTCCAGGAGTCAAGAGCTTCGGAACGATTTTCGCGCACAATTTTTTTATATCAAGTTTTTCTGTCAGTATTTTGTGAACGATTGTTTTGGGGATTGACAGATTCTCAGCTATTATTCTGTCAATTGACGGTCTTTAAGGAGGCCAATTCTATATTCGTTCCCTCAGAAATCGATGTGGAGGGTCGTCCTGAGCGACGGTTATTTTTCACCTCTTCTCGACCTTCCCGGAACCTTTTTAACCACTTGTTGACGGTTGGTTCCTTCAGAGAGTTGTCTCCGTAAACTTGTTTCAAAAACTTAAAAATCACACAGCCACTCTTGCCTAGCTTTGCAAGAAACTTGATGTTGATGCGCTGTTCCTCAATCAGAGAGAGCTCCATGCCGACAGAAAGTAAAAAAAGGTTATTTTCAATAAGCAGACGTAAACTACTACTTACCCGTAGAACGCTCTGACTCGAACTGAGCGTTAAGCGAATTACATAGAGAGGAGAACCTCGTATTTGTTTTTTCCAGCATTTCTTAAAATATTTAACTTTTACTCATTTAATTTAGCACTTACTTCACTTAAAGACTAATTTTCGTCCAATCATGCTATAACCTTTGATTTTCTCTTGTAATAAATAGTTTTAGTTGAATTATATGATCAAATGTTAATTTAATTTTGCTATAGCCTTTGAATTTGTATTACAATAAATAAACGCACCACTGGCCTAAGCCAGACATACAGAAATAAATTTCGCATTGGTTTGCGCCGATTGTACATAGAATACACCAAAGTTAGGTGATATCACACGCCTCTGAATGAAATCCAAATTACCTTATTTTTACAAAGCCTACTTGAAATTCGTCTTTCCTAAAATCAGAATTAATAATAATATTGAAATAATTAATTAAATATCTAATTTTCAGTTACAAGATCGAAACATTTTTGATTCAAGTTCAAACTTCGATACAGACTTTTTGTTAGCCACTGGAGGCAACGGAGCTCATTTACTGTTAAATTGTCTTTCTGGATCGTCGTTAAAAAGCACCTTCGCATGTACCGGAAAGTACGGTAGATTCATTCAATATTGCAAATACGATTTGGAGCAGGGCAATACCATAGGAATGTCTCAGTTTTTAAATAACGCCGATTTCTATCACGTCGATCTACAAAACGTTTTCCATCAGAATAAGGCCGTTAAACAAGAAATTAGGAATTTGATCAGCGAAGGTTTCGAGACGTACATCGTGAGACCCATAAAGAAAGACATTATAAAACATCATAATATTTCAACTATTATGAAGTAAGTTTTAGTTTATTTTATTAAAGGTAATGTACTACGAGTCCTTTGTTGAGAAGTTGAGTAACAAATTTTCCATGTTTTCGACAGAAATAATTTCAATATTAGAAGCTCTAAAATATATAAAAGAATAAAAAAAAATCAAATCAACAATACGTAATTTTATCCGATAGTAAAAGCGCCTAAAAACACCTCAATGTTTTTATTTTGGAGTGAAACAGAAATATTGTCGTTCGATAAGTTAATTTTTAATATATAAGTGTTCGTATCTAAAAATTCTACAAAGTAAAATGTATTTTTCAAACCACAAGCGCGGCAGCTTTAGTCAGGTGAGCAAGGGGTCGTTGGTTGTAGGCGGTAGATTTATAGGGCCTAACCCACTTAATTTTAATAAAACAAAAAAAAATAATCATAACAACTAAAGTTATCAACTTTGTGGCGTTTTAAATAAGGTCCGTCCTTTCTGTCCCACCCTAAGATTCAACTACGTTTAAGTTTTGTGGCGATATGTTAGGCATTTTGTCTCTTGATGTACATAACCGCGACAAAATAGTTAACATGTTGCTACAAAACTTGAACGTAGTTGAATCTTAGGCTGGGACAGAAAGGACGGACGTTATTTAAAACGCCATAAATTGGATAACTTAACTTTACTAAAAAAAATATTGAGAGAATAGAGTTCCTAACGAAATCAAGTATGATAAACAATTCTCCCATGTGGTGTCCGTTATCCCTAATACACTTCTGGAGATGATTTTATCATCCACTCTTTCCAACATCGCTGTGTCACTTTTGACGACTTCTACAGAAATAGCATTCTTTTCAGTTCTTCTAATATGCGGGATTTCCTCTCGTATACACTATACACGTGTCCTCGCCAGTGCTAGTATAAGGTACTTTTGCGACTGGTGTTAATTGTAACCGTCGCCCCTACGTATATTATGTAAAAAGTAAAAAAAACAAGATTACAAAATCCAAAATTATTTTACTCATAACTTCACAATATATTAATAAAATAGTCGAAATCAGCTCTAAAACTAATACGATAATACAGAAACACAAGTAACTTTTATAACTTAATAAAAAAAAGTCGTTTTTTTTTTTAAAACCAACTTTAAAATCGTGCAGATGACGTAAAAAATAAAAAAAAATTATTTTCTCATAGATCTACAGATCCTGAACAATTATATACAGAACTACCTCTAAAGTATCTCCTTTCAAAAAAAAAGACTAATAGAAATCGGACAACGTGATTTTCTCATTATTATGAGATAGATCACCCCTTTTCTAACAAAAATAATTATATTATGACAGGCTTCTAGCTTCAACTGCTGGGAAGTCTATTTGGCGCTGAGGTGGTGAAATCAGAATAAGAGTTGCTCAGGGCGCCAGCTTTGACAAGGCAGTTTGCTCTGCGACCCTGTAGTACACCAGAGTGTACTCAAGATAGGCTCAGTGAAGTTAGAGAATGAATTTCAACTTGAGGAATGTTTTATTAAATGAAATAAATGATTTAAAAACTAAAGTTAAAAAATAAAACGAAAATATAAAATTACTAAAATGGCAATATCGGCACCCCCGATATATAAAAAACAAAATTTTCTATTAAATACAATAGTTAAACAATAAAAAGAAACTAATGTATATGAAATAATTAAAACGGTAATAGAGCACTCCTCCCGTATATTAGAAAATAACTTTTCTTTAAAATAAATTGTTTAAATACAATAGTTATACAATAAAAAGAAAATAATGTATACAAAATAATTAAAATGCTCTCCTTGTATAATAGAAAATGACGTTCCTATCAAATAAATTGTTTAAATACAATAGTTAAGCAATGAAAAGAAAATAATCGGTACGATATAATTAAAACGGTAATTACGGCGCTCATAAAGTTTTAATTTCGGATTAACTTATTAAATCACACGAAATAAATCAAACAGTAATACCGCCCTCCCTGTTTCATAGAGAATAAATTCTCAATCAACTGACTTGTTTAAACACAATAGTTAAATAATAATTATTATTAATTTGTTACGGAATAAGTTAAACGTTTTATTTCAACACTCCCTGTATAATAGAAAACAGCTGCGGAGGCCAGATACAAAAAAAATTAAAAAGCAATATACACAGCTGATTAGCGGCCTTCGTATGCTAGCACCTTAGATAAAAGAGACCAGAGATATAACATACACCGGTGTTTAACCTGCGCAAATGCTACCAATTTCTAAAGAAAGGTTAACGGAGTGGGTGAACTGGGCAGAGACCCGAACTCTGTGTTAAGGGCCGGACTTTGTTTATTAGCATCATAATGAACTAATAGATTTATTTAAAATATATGTTTAATGGAATTTTGTATTACGAAATAAAATTAACGTGATTTTTTAATATCAAACAGATGCCACGACATTTTATGTAAAGAGAAGACCTTTTATTGAATATTTCGTTAGCGTATATTTACTACGGACTTTTCAGCAAGAGACTACAGTAAAATGTTGAAATAAAGTATTGTTAACAGAGCAAGAAATGGTACTCATTGTTTACGAGTACTATAAAAAAGCATGTGCGCAGGCGGATACTGCAAATCGAACCTTGTAAGTTAAACATTATATTTTTTCTACGGCTATTATATAATATTAAAAATTAGTCAAAATAAAAAATGTTGTTTTGTATTGTAATCTCAGCTTCTTTCTTTAGGAATATTAATAAATATAGACGATGAGTCACATAAAACTCTAGAAATGCATATGTCTGAAAGCAGTTAATATTTTAAAATTTAAACCTTTTAAAAGTCATTTGGTCGCTAGGAGTGGGTGATTATCGAAATAAATTATCGATCATTGAAAATAATCGATTATTTTTAAACAATCTATTTTTTTGTCGTATTTCCTTTAAAATCGTCTACTTGATTATCTTTGAAAAATCAAAAATATTCGATTAATTAAAAAGCCAATTAACCGATAAATCAGTGTTTACAAAAAATAATAAAAGAATTATCGTTTATTTTAAATAATCGATTATTTTCAAATAATCCATTTTATTTTTGTTCATTGAAACAGATTATTCGATAATCTTTGAAAATTCGAAAATAATCGATTAATTAAAAAGTTGATTAACTGATAAATCGATTTTCAAAAAAAAATGAATTATCGATTATTTTAAATAATCGATTATTTTCGATTAATCGATTATTATCAATAATTTATTTTTATTGTATTTCCTTTAAAATCGATAATTCGATTATCTTTGAAATACCAAAAATAATCGATTATTCCAAAATAATCGCTTAATCGAAAATAACCAATTAATTAAGAAGCCGATTCTACGATAAATCTATTTTCCAAAAAAATACCCGAATTATCGAATATTTTCTAATATTCTTTGAAAAATCGAAAATAATCGATAAATCGAAAATAATCGATAAATCGAAAATAATCGATAAATCGAAAATAATCGATAAATCGAAAATAATCGATAAATCGAAAATAATCGATAAATCGAAAATAATCGATTATTAAAAAGCTGATTAACTGATAAATCGATAATTCTAAAAAATATCCAAAAAATCGGTTGTATAAAATAACCGATTATATTCGATCAATCGATTATTTTCATATAATACCTTTGAAAAATCGAAAATAATCGATTAATCGAAAATAATCTAATAATTAAAAAACCGAATAAACGATAATATTTTCAATCAATCGATTATTTTGAATAAATCTACTTTCTTTTTGTATTTCCTTAAAAATCGATTATTTTATCTTAAAAAAACGAAAATAATTTATTAAAAATAACGGATAAATCGATTTTTATAAAAAAAATCAGAATAATCCATAAATCGATTATTTTTGTAACCCCTATCGGTCGCTTGCTTTTCCGAGCATTTAGCACCAACATTTATAGATTCGAATTTTTTGATCCCGTTATCTTTGAAACCGCATTTGATTTTATTATAAATAATAAATATTGCTAGAATTTTGATTTTTTTAGTAAACGAAAATTTTATTCGAGTTGTTTAGGGGTTTATAATGTAACATTTTATTAACAATGTGACTAACTCCCGTAACTTTAGTATTTTTTTGCTCATACTAGATCATATTGTGCATTTTACCCTGTGTTAACACTTTAGATACAAATGTCACTTTCGATTTGACCGCAAATAAGATGAACCTTGAAATTTTAAGCAGGTCATCCTGTATTTCATCTAATATTCTTATAAAAATACCTTACAAAAATAAAATTTAGCTAGCAACTATGTTTCTTTACTTCTTATTTATCTACCAAAAAGGGCTAAAAACCACCTTTAATAAATATTCTTATAAAACTACTTTTTATAAAACAAAATTTCGTTAGCAACAATGCCTATTTACTTCTTATTTAAATTAAATTTTAAAAATTTTACCCTTTGGTAAATTTATGTAAGTAATATGAAATCTGTTTTTTGAAATATGTATTTGATGCCCAATATTTATTGAAACCCCTTAATGCGGATCTGAAGTATTTAGCCCAAAGGATCATGGCGCTTTATGTCAAAACGTTAATAAATATTTACCGCTGAAAACGAATATATTTTTTATCTTTCATATATATTATAAGTATATACAATTTTTCAAGATACATCGTGGCATTTTGAACTTAAAATTGAATAATTAAAACACTTTAAATTGCTAAAACACCAACAAATAAATCAAAAAACAGGTGACTGAACTCAGGCGGAGGTGAGCGTTGAATGGGAAAATCGGAGCAATTCGGGTTGCGTCGTGCAAACAATGATTTTCAATTGGTGGGTTACTTGGAGTTAAAATAGACAACATGCGCAGTGTGCAATATTACATCTTTGGTCTCTTTAATCTAAGGCTAGCACCAATGAGGTGATATGAAATGCGAGATTTTAAAAAATAATTCTTTACATTTTTCACAATCCGAATGAGAATGACGAATACTAATTTCTGTCGTTATTATTTCGTATAGCCTGGTTTCAACGTTGAAGCGAAATGAGTTACGGAGAGAAAGCAAACAAAAAGAAACGGCGAGGAGTTAGAGTCGCTTTGACTTGAAAATAACTCGTTTTTTTTTAGAAAATTGAGTGAAACAGGTGACACTGTGAAGTACTTGAGTCAGCTGTTCATCAAATCTCCAAAAAAAAAAAAAAATACTAGCGGTTTTCCCAACAAACAAAAAAATTAACGGAAATTGAATTAGACCCTATAGTCCAGTTTTCACTCGGGTTTCTTTTTAGGGAAAAATTACCAGCGGTTTTCTAAAAGAAATAAAGTGCAAAATTTGAAAATTAACTAAGGCTCTCCGGCTATTTAACAACGCGTTTGTCGAATATTCAAACTAATTGGCAAAATGATTATAATATATACTTTGAATTTCATGGTGGTCGGCGATGTGGAATACTACGATCAATTTTGCGGTACTATATAAAAATGGTCGACAGAAGACAGCAGACAGCAGCAGAAAAAGAATTTTCTTGCGCTCGCATATTTATGTCTCACGAGCAGACGAGTTCGATTTTTGAGTAATTCCGGAGTGGGAGAAACCACCTCCAGTTCCACTGTTTACAAGTGGAGAAATGAAAAACGTTCTTTTGACACTTCCGAATATACCTAGATAATATACATTAAATTGAATGTTCAAATCCGAATTTGAATTTCGGTAAATACGGAAATATTTTAAAATACGTGGGCTTTCGCAAATGTTCAAAAACTGTTATTTTTTAGAAACAAAAATACGAGGGCTCTTCGAAACGGTCTCAGGAGGAAATTAATTAAAATATACATTTTTATAACTACTTAAAAATAAAATTTAGTGACTTCGTGACAATATAAATTGGACAACGTAGTAAAGAATTATCGCTATTTGTTATTTATATAAATAAAAAAAATATTCTGATGAATTGAGAACCTGTTTCTTTTTTGTATTCGGTTAAAAATAACATAATTTAATAAAATATTAATTAACTAACACTTAATTGTACTAATTTCGACCTAATTAATCAATCATCATTAATTAATTAAATACCCAAAATCCTAAAAGTTTAAATAACTTTTAGGTACCTTGATTGAACAAATAAAAATCAAATTTAGTGCTCATGCAAACGAGTAGAAAAATAAAAAAAATTGCTTATAAAAATGTAATTGTATAGCGGTAAAACGAATATTTATAGCAAAAATTCATCATCAAATTATCGAACACAATTACGAGTATAATCAATTAGAGGTGCTATAAAAAATATAAATTACTTGATATTTTCCAAAAAAAGAAGGAAAAATGGTCACTAAAGGGGACCAAAATTCAAAAACGCCAAGAAGAAATAAAAATTTATGTTTACACCAAAAAATTATGAGCAAACTAACGCACATAAAAATATAATAACTATAAGTGAACATAAAAAACAGAAATTACCTTATATTTTCCACAAAAAAAAAAAAAGAAAATTGCTTAGCTACAATGGAAATAATTAGAGGTTATAATAAATTTAAAGTGCTATGTAAAAAAATCAGTGAGTTAAAACATAAAAACCGTGATAATATCAACACACTTAATTCTATTCAAATTCAACAAATTTTAAAATAATAAATTAGAAGATTATTTAAGCAAATTATACAAAAAAATCCATTAGAAACAAAAAAAAAAACGTTGCCATATATCAGGAGACAGCCGGAGTCAGTTGTGCCAAGTTTATTAAATTAATGACAATGCCTCTTTTCCTCTTCCGTCCGGTTCTACAGCACCAAATACCATCCACGTAAAATCGAGTCTAGCCCCCAGAAGAAAAACTCACACATTGACAATTGAGGAACCTAGAAGGCTAATAAATGTCACCAAACCTCGAAATAAGGCAATCAGGAAAGGCGGGGCTAATAACGTTTATCGATGATGTGGCTTTTGACTACCACCGTCCCCCATTTACCTCTACTTGCTCTGAAGAAGGCTCCAGCGCCCACTAATATGAAACCAACCTAAAAAAATCCGCTCCACTCTTTATAGAAAAAATATTGGCTCTGCTAGCTTGATATCAAGTACCTTTGAATTTTTTAAATTTTAATTACTCCATAATTTTAGACTAATAGTCATGCAGAAAGCCCACTCACGTGACATATCGCACGCGACATGCCACACGCGGTTTTTAGGTGCGATTTTAGACAGACGTCAAGCAGCGACTTAAACGTTCAATATAAAATAGAGATGAAAGTATCAAAATAGAGATGGAAGAAGTAATAGAGGTGTTATTAATGTTATCAAAAAAAGATAAAACGCAGGTACTGGTTCCATCCTTTTTTTATAGAACGTCCGGTTAAATTACGCATTTAGTTTATTTTATAAAGTACTGTTTCATATTTGAGTATTCAAAGATCAGAAGATAAATTAACGTAGTATGCCATGTGTTCGAATATGTCGAAACATAATCCGGTCAATCTATACATTCAAGGATACATAAATTCGCACCTGGCTGAAAGTTGGTAGGATTGTTCAAAACACCATTATAAATGAAACCTAAAAAGTCCTCATCAATCCGCCACCTGGAAAAAAATTTACTCGGGGTTAAAGGTCACAAAAATGGGTTTTTCACGATTTTCAGCAAAACGGTAAGTTTTATCACAAAATTAGTTCAAATCAAAATTGTAGAGCAGATAATTATCTATAAAAAATGTCAAAGATTTTTTTTCTAAGAGCCACCGTTTCCTAGATATAAGAATTCAAAAAGTTCGAAGAGTTGGAATTGTAATATGCACACGTTTCCACACCACCTTTGAGGTAGTGTACTTAGCGCGTTTTTTTTTTAACATGGTTTCCCCGGTAGGCCTATTCCACGGATCTGTTGTGACTCTAATTTGAAACTATTAAATAATAAAAGATATTGGCAAGAGTTGAAAATGATAAAAGCGGTGTAAATAAAAAAAGTAGGCAAATTTATTCGTCGGAATCATAATTCTCAAATATTTCTGCTTCCTCTTCCGACCTCGGCCGAACAGCAGCCATTATACTATGGATAATATTTGTGCATATCAATTTTAAATGATCTAAATTTGATCTTCTATTTTTTAAATTCACTTGATTCAAAAAATGGGTCAGCGACTCTGGGATTTCGTTGTTTAAATCTTCAAACATGCGACCTGGTGGAGGGTAATTAGAATTATCTAACACAGTGGATTGAATATCTTCGCGGATGATTGCTGCAGCAGCTTCTAAGATTCTGAGTCATTCTTCTTTTTTATTCAATTTCTTCTTTTCATACCAAGCTTGATTCAAAATATCCTGATGATTGTCTACTAAGCATATGAATATTGAAGTTCCTAATTTATCAGTGATAATAATTTTATTACCATACTTTAGCTTCAATCGCAGCTTTAGCGTCCGGTTATCTATAATTGTAGTTTTACAAACATTTTTTAATGTGGGTGGTTTCAAGAAGGAATTAAAGCAGTCATGATGATACTTAGCCTCAGCAGCAACTAAATCATTTTCGAATTCGAGTCGAGCAAAAACAGCTTTTGCCATAGCATCAGAACGATTCCGAGCTGTATCCAGAATCGAATCTTTAAATGTAAGTGTACTTACTTGTTGAATTTTACGGCGAGAATCCAACGATTTTCTTTTCTCATGCTCTTCATTCAATTCCTGACTGCAAAATAAGCATTGTTTTTTAAAACAAAAAGCTGATTCACTCACACGTGCTCTAGTACGAGGAGGACCTACAATAGATGTACTGGCTTCTTGTTCTTCATGTTGTCTTTTCATAGATGCAATAGAACACTTTCGAGTATAATTTTTACGGTATGGTCACAGATTTTTGCTCTTTTAAGATATTCTGTATATTCATCAGCTCTTTCAGTACTTGCATTGATTAATGTCTTCATACCACGTTCTACAGTAACAAATTCACTTTCACTTAAAAGTTTAGAACAAATAAAACAATACTGACATTTTTGTTATCAAATTTAAAACAGCACAAAATAAGTTAAAAAATATAGGTTAGAATAAACACGTGTTTACACTCCGGAGCAGCGCTCAAGACTAATAGTCATGCTGTCATGCATGTATTGGGTATTCTAACATAAAGCAGGTATACGACGTTTGCAACGCAGACAATTGAATAGGAGACAGATGTTGCTCAATGTTACACTGGCGTATAAAATAAGAGACTGGGTTTCTTTTTACCTGATATTCTCATATTTATAATATTTTATTTTTGTATGTTACACTGACCGATAGAATAATATTTTGACTTGTATTACAGCTTCAGTGATGTATATACGTAGTGTACTTATAGATATTACGACGATTCCAACTCTTCGAACTTTTTGAATTGTTATATCTAGGAAACGGTGGCTCTTAGAAAAAAAAATCTTTAACATTTTTTATAGATAATTATCTGCTCTACACTTTTGATCAAAACTAATTTTGTGATAAAACTTACCGTTTTGCTGAAAATCGTGAAAAACCTATTTTTGTGATCTTTGACCCCGAGTAAATTTTTTTCCAGGTGCCGGATTGATGAGGACTTCTTAGGTTTTATTTATAATGGTGTTTTGACCAATCCTACCAACTTTCAGCCAGGTGCGAATTTATGTAATCTCACTTGCATTTTTTGGTCTAATTTGACCGGAGTCTGAACTTTTGGTGATTCGGTACGCTCGCGAATTTCCTTCGCAAAATCGATTTATTCCTTATTCGAAAACAGCACAGGGCTGGAACTCTGTGTCATGTAGAATTCTACTTATCGCTTTCTACAATAGATTCTTTTGTGGCACTCTGTGTAACATAGCGGAAAACCAACGAGTATATACTTACAACAGGATAACTAGTTTCATATGAAACCACATTGCGATATTTCCCGTGCGGTTGATAACGTATTTATCACAAAAGAAAGTAATCGATTCCATTGTAGAAAGCGATAAGTAGAATTCTACATGACACAGAGTTCCAGCCCAGGCATGTTGCAAATTTAAATAAATCACAAACAAAAACTTAGTTGACAAGTGTAAGATCAACTAACATTTATAATTGCTGATAAACAAACGATCAAAAATTTTAAAACCTTGACATATTACGTGAATTTATCTGCTGATCTTTAAACGATTGTAGCTCAGAATTAATAATATTTATTTGTAAAACATTTTTTGCTTGAAATGAGCTCAAAATATGATATTTAAGTTTGTACATTACTTCATGCAACACCAGTACATAAATGCATCTATATCAATGATATCGCCGGAGGTTATTTTGAAATTGTGGGACCGTAGAGCCACGGGGGTTGAATTCCATGTAAATAGTTGGTAACAAGTTTGGTTGACCTCGACAGTAGCGCGCTAAGCGCTTACGGTTGAACTACACCTGTCAGTTTCAGTCGATGAAGTAGGACACCACTAAGTAAAGCGATTTAAAAATTAGCGGGCTTCATAATTTAGATATTTTAAGCAATTTGAAGTAACATTTTCCTATTTGACATTTTTTACTCACAACTACTAAACAAACAATAAGTTTAGTGAATTTTTGTTGTAGGTAGTTGAAAAATGGAAAATATCACTTGTTTTAACTGAAAGATAAAATTAGTTGAAAAATAAAACACATTTTTAACAGGTTTAATTTATTTAGAATTACCATGTAATTACATGTGTCTCATTGTCTTTTAACTGCATATTCTGAACAAAACAAGCACTATGGTGGTTGAGGTTTTCCGGGTTTTCCTCACCTGTAAGACAAATAGCATCATCAATCATCTTTAAGTCGCCCTGGAGCGCCACGGCAAATAATAATAATACCCGTACCATTTCCCCGCACAAGCTCAGCTTTTGGGGTTAAAATTTACTCGTAAGGGGGTGAATTAGGGAGAGTATTATTATTATTAATATTATTATTACTATATCACACACTAAAATACAGAAAAATAAAAATATAGTATGATAAGGAGCATAACAAATGACAATATTTTTGTTATTAAAAAAACCAGATATAATTTTTATAAAAAGTCAAAGTAGTTAATTTATAAACACAATTGTTTTAAGTATTGACTTATTAATCCAAGGACAAATCATTCTAATTCTAATATTCTTATACTTATTGTCCCTTTAGAGCCTTTACCCATCTATTTCAATCTAAAGTAGTTGTAATGCCTATTTCGGGTACAATAAGCCTCCAGCTTCAATACAGGTGGGCTTTGAAACACACCCTAATTCAGATAGACATTTATGCACATTCCAAAAATCTCCATACCCAAGAATATCTAAAACAAAACAAAACAAAAATAAAGGTACAGTGTGTATCTTAAAATTAAAAAATACCACGAGTCATAACTTTTGTAAATTCTTACATATTTTCTTGCAATAAAAGGTATAAAAATTTCAATAAAAATAGAAAACATTGATATATGATCTTAATAGGTGATCTATGCAAAAATTAACAAGTTGACATAAATATCATATTAGTTTTTGAACATATTTGGGTATTATTTGATAAATATAATAATGAATATCATCCAAAAATTGAACAATAACTTTTTGAGCACAAATCATTCGCCTTTTTTCATCATTGTCTTTATGAGTAAAACTATGATGAGGTTCTATCTCCGGCTCTACAATATCTGTTTGTAAATTGGCTTTACACATTTCGCTCACAACTCCTTTCATTTTTTTTACCACAAATGTTTAAAATGTGGATTAATAATATTAATAATAATAATAATAGCAGGAAAAATATAAAATTTCTTGTTAGTTTTGTGAGAAAAATATTTACTTCTGCAATTAAAATTTAAATGAATCAGAAGTTAATGACATTCTTGAGAACTTCTCTATAGTTAAATTAGTTAAATCTAACTTACACTAAATTAATACAATTTACTCACCTACATTTAAAAAAAAATATCACCTACAGTTGAAAATAAAAATAATATGAGGCTGACATATTTATGGCAACTTAACCTAATTTATTTTCAAAACTAGATTTACACCATCTCATAATATTTAAATTTAGCTTTAACTTTAAATTTATTAACGATTATCCCTGTATTTGATTACACATTATATTAAAGTGAAATTTAAAGGGGTAAATCAGTAAAATTATTGATTTCTTTGTCATTGTTTTTGAAAACCTATTTTTTTATAGGTGTAAAACGGGTTTGAATTTAGCCATAGCAGCGCGCTAAGCGCTTACGGTTTAACTACCAACAAGGAAACAAGTCCCGCCATTAATTCAAACCTTCTCTTTTTATTTTTCTATGTGTAGAGCAACCAACAGAAATACTTCAATTTTAAGGTGAAGGGGGGAGAAAAAGTCCTTTATATCTCACAAGGAAAGTCCAATGTTTAATTATTCAACAAAACATTGAGTGCGACCGGTTTCGAAGTAACATCACTTCATCTTCAGGCTCGCCTAGTGGAAAGGAGAATATGTGGTGTAAGGTGTGTTGACTTTGAGCCCACAATATATAAAATAGTAAAAAATAGAAAAACTCACCATACTCTCCATCCACTAGGGAATACTACAGACAAGTTTCATCAAAACGTGGGGGATGAAATAAATTGTAAAACAAAACAATGTTACAAGTTATAAAAGTTAAAAATATTTGAAAAACAAATATTAGTCGATATAAACAGTTAAAAATTTTAAAATATTCAAGACGATACAAAAACAAATTACATACATTAAACAGATTAAAAGATAAGGCCTATTTTAAGCAAACATTGCTGTTTTTTATAAAAATCTAACATTTTTGAAAGGAGACCTGTCAAGTTAAGGCCTCTACAGGTGGTGGTAAGTACTAAAGAAAAATTCTTGGATAAACTTATGACAGGGTATAGGTAATAAGATGTAAACTATGAGTGAAGAAATATTTATTATTTATTATATAAGATTTGGGCCATGAACCAATCACCAAGTGTATGTGATGTTGTAGGATAAAATAAGAAAGAAGAAGAAATGACTGGGTTAACTGTTGTTAAGCAACTGAAAATAAAAGAAGAAGAAAAGAAGAAAATGACAGATGTGAAAACACACAACTTAACCTAGTCCTTAAACATGCACGTTGGTTTTTTGTGGGAAAAAATTACTTACTGAAATGTACCCCTTGCAAGGAAATATATGAATAGAAATAAAGGGGGAGGTTAAAAAGGAAGTTAGAACGATAAATTTAGATTAGTGTTGAGAAAACTGAAGGAGTTTCTGACATTATCTGGGCATTTAAGCAACCAACAGGATTTAATTTTAAATTTCTCAATATCTCGAGGCTTTCGAAGCTATTAAGAGTAAATCTATTGTAGGAACTATGTAGGATTTCGAAACCTTCAGTTGAATCGAAGTCGTGATTTGAGTCCAGTAGGTGGTTGGCAAAATGTGAAAATCCTGTTGTATTTTGGTTAAGACAACGCAAATGTTCTTTTAAACGGATCTTGAAATTTCGAAATGTGCGTCCCACATAGAAAGAATGGCAAGATTTACAAGTCAATTTATAAATTCCAGACAAGTCAAAGGGATCTAATTTATCTTTATTATGAACAAATAACTTATGTAATGAGGAGGGGGTTCATAATAAAGATAAATTAGATCCCTTTGACTTGTCTGGAATTTATAAATTGACTTGTAAATCTTGCCATTCTTTCTATGTGGGACGCACATTTCGAAATTTCAAGATCCGTTTAAAAGAACATTTGCGTTGTCTTAACCAAAATACAACAGGATTTTCACATTTTGCCAACCACCTACTGGACTCAAATCACGACTTCGATTCAACTGAAGGTTTCGAAATCCTACATAGTTCCTACCATAGATTTACTCTTAATAGCTTCGAAAGCCTCGAGATATTGAGAAATTTAAAATTAAATCCTGTTGGTTGCTTAAATGCCCAGATAATGTCAGAAACTCCTCCAGTTTTCTCAACACTAATCTAAATTTATCGTTCTAACTTCCTTTTTAACCTCCCCCTTTATTTCTATTCACATATTTCCTTGCAAGGGGTACATTTCAGTAAGTAATTTTTTCCCACAAAAAACCAACATGCATGTTTAAGGACTAGGTTAAGTTGTGTGTTTTCACATCTGTCATTTTCTTCTTTTCTTCTTCTTTTATTTTCAGTTGCTTCACAACAGTTAACCCAGTCATTTCTTCTTCTTTCTTATTTTATCCTACAACATCACATACACTTGGTGATTGGTTCATGGCCCAAATCTTATATAATAAATAATAAATATTTCTTCACTCATAGTTTACATCTTATTACCTATACCCTGTCATAAGTTTATCCAAGAATTTTTCTTTAGTACTTACCACCACCTGTAGAGGCCTTAACTTGACAGGTCTCCTTTCAAAAATGTTAGATTTTTATAAAAAACAGCAATGTTTGCTTAAAATAGGCCTTATCTTTTAATCTGTTTAATGTATGTAATTTGTTTTTGTATCGTCTTGAATATTTTAAAATTTTTAACTGTTTATATCGACTAATATTTGTTTTTCAAATATTTTTAACTTTTATAACTTGTAACATTGTTTTGTTTTACAATTTATTTCATCCCCCACGTTTTGATGAAACTTGTCTGTAGTATTCCCTAGTGGATGGAGAGTATGGTGAGTTTTTCTATTTTTTACTATTTTATATATTGTGGGCTCAAAGTCAACACACCTTACACCACATATTCTCCTTTCCACTAGGCGAGCCTGAAGATGAAGTGATGTTACTTCTAAACCGGTCGCACTCAATGTTTTGTTGAATAATTAAACATTGGACTTTCCTTGTGAGATATAAAGGACTTTTTCTCCCCCCTTCACCTTAAAATTACTTCAACTCACACATGGCTACCCCCCTTGTCAAAGAAATACTTCAACTCTATGGACGTGCCGCACGCAACTAAACGTCTATTATCCCTTCGGGATGCGCACGATGTATCGATTTTTAAAAAACATCGATTTTTCGGTTTCCAATATCGATGTTAACAGGCACATAGATGTACGGAAAAACAAACATCGATATTTAGAAAAATCGATATTTTCTTTTGCGATTTTTTTACAATATCGATAGACTGTATTCGATGTATCATTTTTTGATGTTAACATCGATGTTTTCAAAAATTTGCGCATCCCTATAATATGACTGATGCTCTTGATGTATGCATAGTACCACTGGACGCGTGCGGCAAGATTGTTGCAGGTTTGTTGTTCGTATTTTGTAGCCGAGTGCGACCACACGACACAACCACGTGAATGGGCTTTTGGTCATTTAAATACATCTACGCTCTGGCCGCGCACGATGCCTGGCGGCAGGTCATGCTAGTGGGCTTTCTTTCTTAGGCTTATTTCAGGCTAATTTTTTACCAACCTAAAAAGTTTTCCGCTCCTTTATAGAAAAAACTAGGTACTCAGGTACTCTGCTGACTTAACAACAGACACTTATTGCGTTTTTTATTAAAAAATCAGTAACGTAAAAATTGATAACGGCATAATTTTAGGCTCACTTTAGGCTCTTTTTATTCTAATTCTATACCATCATAAAAAAAATTCCACTCTGGCTTTTATCGGAAAATTTTGACAAAACATAGTTTTAGGCACATTTTAGACTAATTCTATAACAACAAAAAATGTTCCGCTCTTGTCTTTCTTGGAAAGCTTGCAAGCTTCACAATATGAGTTTATAGAGATAAAGGCCAGAGTGGATTTTTTGTGTCGCTATAGAATTAGCCTAAAATAAGCCTAAAATTATGCTGTCACTTTTTAGTTTTCTCAATTCTACTAACAAAGAACGCTATAAACTCGTATTGTCAAGCTAGAAGAGCACCTAACTTTTCTGATAAAGGCCAAAGTGGAATTTTTGTACGTTGATATAGAATTAGCCTAAAATGGGTCTAAAATTATGCCAGTATCATTTTTTAAATTGCTGAATTTTTTAATAAAAAACTCAATAAGTGCCCAATATCAAGCTAGCAGAGCACCTAATTTTTTTCTATAAAGAAAGGAGCGGAAATTTTTTTATGTTGATATATAAAATTAGTCTAAAATGAGCCTAAAATTTTGGCATTTTCAGAACGTGAAAAATCCAAAGGAGCTCTACTAGCTTGACACCAACCTAAACAAATATTTAAAGAATTTTTGTTAACAGTTCTTCGCAAGCTGATCATCATAATTATATATTTTTTTTAGGAAACTTGAGTCTCCGGAGATAATTGGAAAAATTATTATTGATGCCGTCAATAATTTGAGTGTTAACAAGCTAAACGTTAAAGAACCACACCGTTACATTTGTAATTCAAGAAATACTTATCTAGTGTTCGGTAAGATTCCATACTCATATTAACTTATTCTAAATTTCATTTAGTGTTAGATATCTATTTTATTTATTTAATTTAAAAGGTTTTATAAGGATAATCTACCAAAATAGGTGATAAAAAAAACGTATAAGGAAATAGCTGAAAAAGACGCCAAATCAAATACAATGTTACTTCTTAATTAATGGTGACTTAAATTTTGTTGATGGAGTTAGACCTTAAACTTAATATTGGAATGTGTGTTCAAACTATAACTTCGTTTGGTTATTGGCGAGTTTAACAATTTTGAAAAAATTCTTGGCCCATATTAAAAAGATTTAAGTATCTGAAAAAATTGATACCCTGAAAACCCTAAAACCTTGATTCGCAAAATTTATCATAAACAAAACCTTCTAGTTTTGGAGGTGACAAATGTTCACAACTCTTGTTTTCGTTCCTGCCTTGTTTATGTTACATCAATTTTCCTAAAAATAAAGATAACATTTTTAAAAGTGCTTGATATTTTGAGAAACACATTTAAACTTACAATATATTTGGTACAGCGAAGCAGTCCTCTAAAACATTTTAGTCCACTCAAATTCCTCTAATCATAAGTTTCTTTTAATTCGTCTTTTGAAAGAATTAAAAATAAAATAACAGCTTTATCCTTTTTTTTTTAAATTCATATATTTTGTTTTTAAATTTTTCTTCTCTTGGCGACTCAAAAGAAACCTTAGTAAACTGAGAATAGTAGACTATAGTGAGTACAGATTATATAAGGAGGAGGATGAAACCTTCATTTACTTTCTAACTGAATGTGTAGCACTTCAGAATCCAAGGGCACTATACTTAGGAGCATACCAAATAGAAGAGGTCGATCTACCTAATTTGAAGCCACTTCAAATCCTACACTTCCTTGAGAAGATAGGATTGCAAGGATCGTTATAGGCATCGAGACTATTTTCCCGATCCATAAGCGACAGAAGGGCAAAATAGATCTTTAAGGTCATAGGGCTCAATACCCCATACCTAACAACATGTGCTATGGAAATAAATAATATTTATCAGTAACCTTTCTTCCTCTTTTATATTTGAAGTCACATAAAATAAAACCTATAAAACAAAGTCATTTTTAACACCACGAATTTAAATAATTGTTAAAAAATAACTTGGTAAACAACTATTTGGTAAGACTACATCGTCAACCTAATATCGAAAATGATAATACTCATCTGATAAGAGCGTCAAGGTTTCAAGCTGCTACCGAAAGAAATGCTTTATTGAATATAACACCCAACTAATTGGAGTAAACGCAATAACTGGCTAGGCAAATCAGGTGCACGAGTTTTATGAATGTGTGGACATGTCTGCTCTGTAGTATGGTTTTTGTCACACGGAAGGCATCAGCCAGGAATTCGTTATCCGTCAAGAGATATGGCAAATAATTTAAATGACGTGGCTATTGCTAGACCACTTTAAGCAGTTTGTTTTTGCTTTAATTTAGTTAAGTAGATAGTATTTAATCAAGGCCACTTTAATGTTGATATTTAGCATGGTCTTTCTGAACACATTTAACCCTAAATGAGATGTTTTTCATAGATCTGTTTAAAAATATTTAAGTTGGTTTTGTTTTGGTTTGTTAATTATATTGTAGTACACCAATAGGATATAATTCTTGTACTTGCTTTTTTTCTTAGGTGACATTGGCAATGCTATGGTTATTACCCTTTTATTGTGTATAGGCTTTGTTATTGTCTCCCTGCTCCACTATGGGGACAGCAACAGTTAATTAAAAGCCAACAGTGAATGCTCGAGTGGGGAATTAGTCAGGCTATGCAATGTAATTTTTAATTTTAGAAAAATTAGAAAGAAACTTGGTACCCGATTGAATCTGAACCCGGATTGCCCGGATTTAAAGTCTCAAGCTCTACCCACTGCGCTACCCCACCGCGCTTCTTGTTATTTTGTAAAAATGTTGTCACAGATTTTCTAATGGTGTTTAGGTACTTCTTGTTTAGGTACTTGCTTAGGTACTTGATAGGTGCGTACAAGATAGGTTTTCTAATAAAGTTTAAGAGCAAAATCTACATAGTTATTTTAAAAATGTACTTGTGTATTTCTGTTTTAATTAATAAAAATATTAATGTTTAACTTCCATTGTTTTTAATCTCTGTAGCTAAGGTATAGCAAAACATAACCTGATGTAGGCTTTTTTTAAAGAACTTTTAAATTGATGGAGCATTTTTGTACGGACTACCACCATTAGACACCAATTTCCAAAACTTAAAAACGGAAAAGAGTGCAGTTACAGGTGATTCAATAGAAACAAAATCGCAAAAGTAAACCTTTCTGTTAGCTGACTTTACTGACATCGATCTTTAAGTCTTAACCTTTATCGCCTGACTGCGCCTGATTTAATTGCTATCATACCAAGAACTTTTGAAAGTTCAAAACCTCGCCTAGTTTAAAACGCTTCTATAACACTCGACATTATCTGTCTTTTTTTCTCTCTGTATTTTCGAGTCTGCTACCATCTATGTATTACGTCGAAACCCTGGATATTCACATAAGCTTTGTTGCCAAAATGTTTATTTTATCATTATTTTGTCTTCAAAAACTCCGCCATAAAAGAGCTTTTTTGAAGATGTTCCGGAATTTGAATGTTAAAATTTGTGTGCAAAATCTTATGACCGGGAGCATGGGACCCAGAAAAACATACCCTCCTTTCCTTGGCTAAGCTAGATTTAAATAAAAATTAAAGGGCATATAGGTATTCATATTTTGATTCGTTTTCCAGGTGGTTCAGCAGAAAGTTGGATCGACATGGCAGAATGGTTGGTCCACAGAGGGGCTAGAAAAGTCATAATAAGCAGCGACAGTAAACCAACAGAAAATTATCTGAACAGAAGATTAACGATCCTTGAAAATTACTACGGAGCCGACGTAATAATGGCTGCAAGTAAAATACAATCGGAAAGTGGCGCACTTGAACTTCTGTCGGAAGTTTCAAATTTGGGTGCTCTGAATACGATGTTCATCTTACCCAACGAGACCGGTAGCTCAGCATATATCGACGAAATCGTAGAACCATTTGATAAAGCTTTACGAAAGATAGCACCTAGAGCATTGCTGGTGAACTTTATACCCTCATCAACGGGAATATGTTACAAGAGGTCAATGTCTGGTTACTTTACGAATAACATAGAATTTTCCAATCAGGAAAAAATTTGCGACGTCATCCCTAGTTTGGATGCTATTTTGAATTCCAGCTGCAATAATGTCATTTTAAAGAAATTGAATACTGGTGACTCTACAGAGAATGCCAATGTAGCAGTAATCAATGGTAAGTAAAAAATAAAAATTAAATGCATGTTTTCCTACCACGAAAGGTCAAAGTGGTTCGAGATAGTAAGGTTATGATCTCAGTTTTTTGGGATGCTGTAGGGTTAATTCTGATCTACAAAAGAGAGCTACTATTACAGGCAATTATTGTATCGATTTATATTTATATGGCTGAAAGATATGCTGTTTGTTTCATCAAGACAATGCTCCCAGTAATTTGTTTGAAATGGAAGCGCGATTTTAATTTGTAAACATCCACCCTATTCACCAGATTTGATGCCTGGCGAATATAGACTGTTTCGAAACTGAAAGAATATCTGGGTTAATGAAAATTTTGATGTGGCAATGATGTTATTTATGTCAGTCGTATATGAATGGTTTGAAGAGATTGGAGAATATTTCTTCCGTGACACTCATAAAATGCTGTAGTATCATTAGTATATGAAACAAATTGTTGAAATATTCTTCTAATATAAATAACTCATTAGCGGAGCATAGGTATCAACCTTCGTAAAAGATACTTACTTTTCTCACAAGTGTGGAAAATAAAACTTTTTATAAATTATGCAGAATTGTGCATGCAGAAAAGTATCAATTTCATAGAAAAAATATTTATCAATATATAAGGAAAATTACCAATATTTAAAACATATTCTTTTGTAAAATTTTTCAGACGCAACGAGATTACTCCCTAAACTTGAAGATATCATCAATTTACAAAAGAATGCTCCCAACGAGCCAGAATTGGTTCAAGTATTAACAGAAGGTCCGGCGGAAATTAGAGAACTAGCGCCTGTATTCATAATTCCCGGTCTAACAGGTTACAAAGAGTTAGAAACGTTCACCAGACACTTGCTGTATCCAGCTTTCTGCGCGGTGTATCCTTCCACACCTTGGCCGTTCGAGAAGCTTGCAGAAGTTTATGCGCAAGTAAAAAATCACCAAACAACAATTTACACACATCTATAATTATTTGTTTTTTTAAGAAAATCATCGAAGTATTTCCGAGAGAATTTTATAATATCATAAGCATATCATCTGGAGGTCCTTTGGCCATAGAGGTAGCCAAAATACTTACAAAAAAAACTGCAGACGTCCATCTGTTCTTTATTGACAGTCCTCCTGTAAGAGTTCAACAAGGTTTCCAAAATCTCGGCGAAAACGATGTGCAAGTTGAAGTGGACTTGTTGAGAACTGTATTCGAGAAAAATGATTTAGAGGTTTGTAATGATTCACATAATTTATAATTATTTAAGTGACAAGTAGAGGGTATTCTTTATTAATATTAATATTTCGAATTTTTTCCAGATTGTCAAACAACTTAAGAGTTGTCCAAACTTCGAAGCCAGAATTAAAATGCTGCTCCAAAGGCTTGAGAAATCGGAGAAAAACAAGAAACTACTCGAAAAAGGACTTATATTTGTGAAAGATTTCATGGAAAGGGTGAAAAAGTTTAAGCCTGACAATGAACTGTTACCGGGGCGAGTGCATATTTTGGTTCCTGACGACTGCAATGCATTTGAAAATTACGGTCTGTCTTCGGTAAGTCTTAAGTAAATGGCCTAGGCCGGTTCTAGACCAGTAGTACAATTTTTGATAGATTGCGCTCGAATTCATATCAAATAGCAAGTACCTTGCGCCAAGTATCAAGATGCTTTACGTGAATTCGAGCACCATCAGCATAATTGAACAGCATTGAATAATTAGATTTAAAATAAGTCTTTGTCCACCACGACATTTTTAGATCTATTGTGGGACAAAAATTGTACTACTACTAATAATAATATTAATAATAATAATAATAATAATAACTGTTATTATTTAATATTTTTTTCAGTACTTCAAAAATACACCTACCATTACTCAAGTTCCTGGAGATCATCTGAGCATTATTACGAACAGCGTTACTTTTGAATATGTTAACCAAAATCATTACCAGATATATTAAAAATTAAGTCTAATATATTTTTTTTTTCAATAAAAGTTTGTTTGTATATGTTTATCAGATGTGTTTTTTTACAGTTAATTGTTATTCGGATCATTGACTAAAAAACTTAATTTTTCAATCATGTTTGTGGTGTGAAAGACAATTATCAGTATTAGCTATTTAAACTAAGCGATACATCCCATGACACTATAAAAGAAGGTTATATTACGGTTATATTACGCCGAGTGCTACTAACTCACGGTGACCTATCGTGGTGTGAAGGCGTGGCTTTTACGAATTTGAGGTATCGTCTAAGCTAAAACAGCACGCGAAAATAATTTGTAATCTGCTCTTGGCCATATTATTGTAAGTTGTGTTGTCTACTTGCGTGCCAATTGAAAACGAAGTAATCTATTTTTAAGATTTTCTTTAAATATTAAGACAAATGAGTTTGTATATTAGATCTTTAATTAAACACAGATTAGTCTATATTTTATTTTAAAAACCGATAATTTTTTTTTTATTTACTGCAAATGAAAATACGTAAGCTCCAAAGTAGCTTTGGTGTACATGGCTCTAATAATGTCAAATTATGAAAAATCAATATTTTAATTCCTTTCAACTTATTTTCATACTGTATTCCATAATTATTCACTTTTTAGAGGTTTTAATCCGAAATTATTATTGACATGATTCTATTTGGCAAACTACTTTTAATATGATGATATTACCCCTAATACGAGAGTGTTGATTGTCGCGGAACATTAAGATATCAATTTCAAAAAGTTTCCAGAAGCTGTCTCGAGGAGATCGATGGCACAGAAAAGATTTTATAACTACTATTCAACAGAACTATTAATGCCAGGAGACATGGCGCCATCTCCCAATAATATGCTAAGCATCAACAAAGCTTTAAAAGTTTGTCGGGACATATTCCGGTTATTATAAACTGTGAATAACATTTTATAATACTATCTTAATCATAAAATAAAATCAGATAATTTTTTTCATAATACTGTGATTTGACAAACCGGGCCTTAACCTAGTTTTGCAAATATCCTTAACCTTGGCCTAAATTTCGTCTAATGGATCCCCACGAAGTGATGTTAAAACCCCTAGAATTACGTTTAAAGTTCAATGTAGCTGTAATGGAGGAAGAAGAAAGTAAACACGGAGATTAATTTGGAATACTGTTTATTTAACATCTATTCTTTTGTACAGCCAGACATTTAGATTATGTGCCGTTCTTAAGCTTAACATTATGTTTATGTAGGCTTTCCAATGTGTCATTTCTAACCTCAGAGCTTTTAGTTCCCATAAAAGGGTAAAATAAAAGTCGGAAGTACTTCGGTATATTTGTTTGTCTCGTAATATACAATCACACCTTTCCAAGGAAATACTAAATTACGCATTGTCTAATAAAAGAGAGTACAGCGGTAGCACGGGAGTTCGGTGAAATATAAAATAATGTTTGTAACATGTGTAAAAACCGGAGTGTAGATTTACCTCACCGTGCGTCACGCCTTTCCCTAATATTCCAATGCCGTAATGTACTGACATACTCAGTCCTGTATGGCAAACACTGAACGGTCGATCGTAGAACACCTGATATAAAGGGGGATGCCCGTCAGGCTCACTTTTGGGGTATCTCAGTAGAGATCCATCCTGCCTCTATCAGGCTTTAATTTACATAAACGCAAGGGAAATACCATTTTTAGGCCCTTACTGTTGAGGTCCCTGGCGGTCTATGGTGGCCTAAGGCTCTTTTTTGGCGCGATGCTCTTTTGCTCTGTCGATTGACAAATCATTGTTATTAATCACAGTTTTGAGGATACGTTAGCTAGTCTACAAACACAATTTCACCCATTTATTCTAAATTAATAACAAAAATACCGAATGTCCCGCTAAAGATATGTGAATAAGTATGTACAAATAAATCCGACCCTTCTCAATATTCATGATTCTACCTGCCGCTGTACATACTCTCTTTTTCCCGAAAAATCGATATACAAAACTAACACTCTTTACGGCTAAAATGACACATTTGTCTACCCAATTTTGTTTTACAAAGAACGACAGAAATCATATTTTTTAACCGCAATCTAACTTTAAAATATATATAAATCAAGGTATTTACTCTACTAATCTACATCTGTTTGCCATTTAAAAGTAAAACCGAAAGTGCGTTTCTTCTTTACTGTTTACAGACAACCAAAACTTTACAATTCGGCCCTTTGGCCATACATCTAAATGACTTAATTTATTACTTGAGAGTGTTGACCGACTTTACAATAATTAATATTTATGACAACATCACTATCGATTCTCTAAATAGTTTAATTTAGCACAATATAAAAACCCTACAATTTTTCTCACAATAAACGTTTATCAATGAATACCCAAAAATATGACAATAACACACAAACGCGAATTTTCCCGCTAATGAATATAAAAGTAATAAGGTGATACCTATAACCCATTAATGTTAGTCTAAACTCTCCCCCGGAGTTATGAATATTAAATACTAGTTTAATTACTTTAATAGTGCGATTATGGTTTTAATTCTACGTAAAAGAAACCTTACAGAAAAAAAGTATACCGCTCATAAAAGCGTCTACCTGGCTCAAGTTCGTCGAGTCAGCCTTAAGGGTGCGAACGTCGCCTAGGGTAGTACTTTTATTCATTTAGTAACATTTTATAATGTTGAATCGGAGATATAAAATATCTGGCGTTTAATTATACTGGCATGGTATCACCATTATCAGCTAAGCCAATATTTTAGTCGCTCGGTAAATACAACCTTACAAAACAGTTCTAGGAGCGAAATCTGGTTCTATTCAACGTGTATCTGCTTGGTCAACCGACTATATATCTCCTTTTACTTATATATAAAATATAAGAAAAAGGTGGACAACTGGATATCTATGCAGAAGCCGTCGTTTATAGAAACTAATTTCTCTACTCCGTCGATATCTTTTATTTCGGTTCCCAAAATATAACAAAAGCGCGGCCACCGTAATAGTAGCGATATCTCTTTTTAATTATATTTGAAGAATATAAAGAAAAAGGAGTCACCGTGGCGGTAACGTGGATATTTGCGTTTTTTTTAACTTGACTCGGTGAAGATGAAAAAGCTAATAATCCCCCAGCTCTTAAAACCCTGGTATTTATACTTACATTTCCCATATATACAAATGCATCGGAAAGAGAACGACTGTGAATTCGGTGCATAAAGACTATAAAGCCCTGTATTAATTCCTGAATATAGCCCTATTGGTTTACACCTTTTAGCTAGCCGCCGTTACAGTTTACACATCGATTTCTTTTTCCAGAAGTAATTAAACGGCGCCTACGAGTCGGGATATGCTGGGATGTTGTTTGAAATCGAAATAAAAATTTGAATATAATATGTAATATATAAGAATTATTTAAATTAATTATCAACCCCCGGTTGTCGGATTTCACCACGGTTGATAGGATGTAGGGAGGTGGTATTTTCGAAATGCGAAAAACTAAAAAATCTGGAAAGAAGTGTGAAAAAACATTTATTGTGATTATATTAACTTCTATTACATCTAAACTAACTTTAGTGTCAAATTAGAATGATTTTGCAAAATTTTCATTATTCATACATTGTCGTGAAGAAAGTAACGACGCTGTAGCATATTCTCATAATCTAAAACAAAATGTAATAATAATAAATAGAGATTGATCAACAAAAAATGTTTCTTGAGTAGGCTAGACCGACAAAGACAGATATACGAGCCATGTCTTCTGAATTAAATCCAAGCTGACCCTTTAAGAAAAGAATTGTACACTTCAACAAATGTGCATTTTTCAAGACATATACTTTAGAAATATTTTTTGTGGATCGTTACACAGGTAAAGTTGGTTTTCATTTTTTTTATTCTAAAGAAAATTATACTATATCTTTTCTATCAGCAAACAAATTATAGATAACGTCACATCGTTAAAATTTTCTTTTATCCGAACTACCCATCATAATACTAATAATAATAATAGTTCAAGTCAATAATTGGCAAAGAAAAAAAATTGGAAAGTACAAGATTAGAGCACACACAGATTTTTATGTTATTAATAGATTTTTATAGCTATTTTGTTTTAATACAAAAGACAGGGCCGTTCCTTGGGCAGCTGCAGCCGTGTGCCGTGTGCCCCCCCCCCCCTTTCATACCATATGAAATATTTTTACCTTAAATAAAATAACAAAATATAAAAAAATTGTTTTATTTATTAGTTTTACAGCCTAAAATATTAATAAATTATTATTGTATATAATATAACCAAATAAATACAGGTACGTGCACAAAAATATCTATTAATAATAGGTACTTAACAAGTCAGTCAAAAAGCCGATACGTCTAAATCTTTGGAAATGCCTTATTTAATACTAATAATAGAAAAGTCTAAAAGCTGTTCCTGTACCATTGTTTTATATATGAATTATTTAAATACCAATTTATATTGACAATATTTATGTATACAGAATATTATCTCAGCTAAAACTGACTCATTGTAATAGCAAAACAGCCTTTTTATAGAAGGTAACGCAAAATCAAGTACCCTATGCAATGTTGTTATGGTTTCGATTTAACTGTTACAGACTTTTGGATATGGGGTTATCTCAAAGATAGGGTATTTGTAAATAATCCTCAAACACTAGAAGCATTAAAAGACAACATCCGGGAAGAAATTGACAAAATACCACCTGAAATGTTGGAGAAAGTTATGAAAAATGCTTTAAAAAGAGCTCATTATTGCATTATTGCTGGTGGGTGGCCATTTGGTTGATATTATTTTTAGTATCCCAGGCAGCACACATTGATATAACTTACGTATTTTATACGTAATACTCGTTTAATTTTGGTATTGGTTGATTCCGTATAGGTACGTTTACAGTTTACTATTATTAAACATTCCGTGTTTTAAACGATATATTATACGTTTTTTATATACATCCTATGGTATATAAGTGTAAATTTTTCTACGTTTAAACATAGTTAACAATATACGACTAGTTTTAGTTTGCGATTAACTATTTATATACAGTGGGCCTAAATATACGTTTAGATTTATTTAAATTAAATTCGTATAAATTTACATTTATAATTTTCGTTTAAATTTCGTGTTGGTTGACTTTTTAAACGTTTACCATCTACCATTTTTATACTTAACGTTTTTAACAGATAAATTAAACGCTTTTGTTTGTCGATACTAGTTAATATACCTATATTATTCTACGTTTAAATTTAAGTCACCTTAAACGAATATTACTAGTTTATGATGAACTAGTAGACATAAGAAAATAATATGTATATATTTAGGTTTATTTAATTTAAAAGCTTATAGATATATTTATTTACATTATATCCATAATTTTTTAATTATATTACCTGCAATATTTATAACAAATTCCCCATACACACGGAACTATTTTTAGATGGCGGATGGAGGATGACGTTCTAGTGGTACGGTCTTTTCTCATTTCTACTCATGCGTATGTGTAGTATTATTGTTCAGTGTTATGTAGGGAATGGTTTGTGACAGCACCAGGTTCGTCCATTTTTATTTGTGTACACATTTTGTTGCATTGCATGCTGCTTTGGCGTCGTTGCTTTTACGATATTGATTAAAAGCATAGGTAAGTTTCTATTAATGTTTTAATTTAGCTACTCCTTTAATAATTGTTGCATTTTACAACAACTACTGTTTTATAGCTAGGTACAGTGTGTAAATGCAAAACATCACCTTACTTTTGTTTCTTTTATTTTTATACGTATTTTCAGGCTACTTATTTTCCTTTTTTTTGGTCAGTTGTTTTTTTATTTAATAAAATGTCTAAAATAACCCTGTCTCGGCGTCATCTACGTAGAAAAATAGCACAAAATGTTCAAGATGCTTTAAAATCAAATCAATTTTTTTTTATTCCCAATGAAGATAACATCAATAAAGCTTCGGATATTAATATATCATCTGATTCTATTATTTATAATAATTTCCAAGAAAATAATACAAATTTAACTTCGGAGCTTTTAGAAAATATTTCACCTGAAATTGAGTTACATTTTGGTTATAGGAATGGGGGTGAACCAAGCGACTTAACCGACAGAACGATTAGGTGTGCCATGCAAGATTGGCTTAAGTTAGCCAAGGCCCGTCTAGGACACAACACAACCAAAGTGTTAAGCTAAGATTTTAATTTTCATATATATTTTTTGTTATTTAAAGGAAAGTTCCGTTTATTTTGTTATTTTAGTGTTTATTTTTTAGTACTTATTTATTTTTTAGTATTTTATTGTTTCTTTTTTAATTGTTCTGTACATGTAACAAGTGATCAAAAAATTTCCTAAATATTTAGGCCAATTACAATTAAAATAGAAACACGAGTAATGCCTATTTCTGGTATACACACCTGCTATGGAAGAAATCCAAACTGTCATTTAAGAAATATTAACATTTTTCCATGGCCTCTTTTAGAAATTTTGTTTTGATCACTTTATTTAATTTGTGTTTGAAAAACATTTAAAACAATATCAAGTAACGCATTTTACATATTAAAAAAAATCATACAAATATATATAAGATAAATCTAATATAGACGTATAGTAAAACAGGATAATTAAAGGTAGATAAAGTAGTAATGTTAGACGTATAAAAAATTAAAAAAAATATACGTTTATAGGGCGGACATTTTCACGTATATATTGGGTAGCATATCAACGGTATCCATACGTATATTGTAGTACATAGAAAAACGTCTTTTATACGAAAGTGGATTCGTATAAATATACTACAACTATAAATCTAATATAGACGTATAGTAAAAACGTTTAATTATAGGTGGATAAATTCTTAGTAATCGACGTTTATATATGACAAATAATATATGTTTATAAGGCGGACATTTTCACGAATATATTTGGTATTCATACGTATGGTAATAGCTAAAAAAATACGTAATTTATACTAAAGTGCGCTGCCTGGGATGTAACAAAACAAATTTTTAGAGTTTAAATAAATATTTTTCATTTATAATATGACTGTTTTTTAATTAGTCTTACTTTTATATAAAAAACAAACAGGGAACTTTATTTTGCGCCACCTTGTATAAAAATATGGCGAACCCAATTGTTTTCGTATTCACCAGAAATGTTTACGAAAATTTTAGACTTCCCTCCACCACTCGCACATTTGGCGGACCCACCATTTTATAAACTGTGGGGTTTCTGGTAATTTCTTGAATTTTACTAGTAGACCGCGGTATCTTTTACTAACGGGCTTTGCCATGGGCGTATCCTAAAGAATTTCGAAGGTTGATTAATTTCTTTGAATATTTTTGGTAACCGAATAGGTGGGACCATAATAGGCCCAAATAAGGCAGAGAGGGACTTAAGGAGAATTGGTTAAAAATGACTCGCAAGACAGCATTATCAGGTTATTTTTTCTGTCTTAGTATAATTGTTTTTCTTTGCCAGTTATTGGCTAGAAATGCTATACTGGTGTGTGCTTTTTTATTATAAGTAGGTAAATCGTTTAAAACAAAATTACTTCCCATAATTAAGTGGCTTAGTGCCATCCTTGCTTAACCCACACATTTTAAAATTTGCCGGCATTGTGCATACCTTCATAAAAATATGCCAATTTGTATTTTAAACTATACCGGACACAATAGAGATGGACACACTGAAAGATTTATTTATTTTTATGAAGGTATACCAAAGTGGGTTAGATAAGGATGGCTCTATTATCTATATCAGCGTTTCTCAAACTTTTTTGGTGACGGAACCCTTTTGAAAAGCGAAATATTTCGTCGTCAATATCACGAAGTGACGTTACTCGAAAAATTGAAAATTGAGATAAGTCACATGTAATGTAAAAAAAATATGCTCTACAATTTCACGAAATTGCGTATCTGAATTAATTACATTTATTAAAAAAACTTTAAAACTCTCTCTTGTGAAGTTGTGAAAATCGAGTTACGTCACGTCGTGATATTGACGATTTGACGGAGCATGGGGCATTTTAAAAAAATGTCCTCAAGCAAAATCAGATCCTTTCTTAGTGAAATAAAAAAAAGCTCCTCAAATCAGTTCTTCCTTTTTGTGATGAACTTCCTGATAGTATCCCTTTAGTATTTTTTTATTATGGCTATTATTTTCGCAAAACCTCCGCAGAGGCTTTCCGGTGCCCCAGGGCTCCGAGGAGCACACTTTGAGAAACATTGATCTATATGAATCGTTTTACCTCAAATCAAATTTATTTAAATCAATCATTTAATTCTTTTAATGATTGGATAAAGTATAAAGAACGAATTCCATATTCTGTTTTCTGATATGGCGCAAAAATATTACAAAACTCCTGACATACAATTTATAAAAGGCCTGTAACTATTAAGACGACCTTTATCAATTTATTTAAATGGTTATCAATATTACATACCTTTGTAAAAGAATGAAGAGACATTTCTCCTATTGCTACAGCTTTCAGAGACATCATTTGTTGCGAACGTATCATCATGATCATCAACATCTTTTTTTCACGCCCATTGGAGTTTATCCAATTTATTTCATTGTAAATTATATCCGATAGAGATATGCTCTGCAACAATTATTCATACTAATATTAATAGATTGTGACAAGTTAGTTAAATATTTAACAAACGCCAGTAATAATTGCGGTTTTTATGAAACGGCGGGCGTCATATTGGCTGTTGTATTTCCGATAATATGAATCAATAATGGACTACTTTTCAAATTTACAGCATATTGAAATATTTTCATTAAACTCTCCACTGTGATTATATGAAATACGAAGGATCACATGGGAACTTTGTTTATTTACCAACAAATTTACAAATGGAGTCAATAATAATAATTCATAATAATAATAATAATAATAATAATAATAATAATAATAATAATAATAATAATAATAATAATAATAATAATAATAATAATAATAATAATAATAATAATAATAATAATAATAATAATAATAATAATAATAATAATAATAATAATAATAATAATAATAATAATAATAATAATAATAATAATAATAATAATAATAATAATAATAATAATAATAATAATAATAATAATAATAATAATGTAAATATCTGTCAGGGTTATATTTGGAAACGTAGATGGGTCACAATAGTAGTTTGTACAACAAGAATGGATATAGACTCGAGTTGTACAGTATACTTTTTATATGACTCATTTACGAAAATCAACAAATACTAAAAATATTTTAGGTTATTACGATAAAATAACTAATTTAAAAATAATTTATGACTTTTACTAATTTATAAAATAAAATAAACCAAAAAAGAAGATAAAAAGATTTAATTTAATTTGTCCCCATCCTAGATTTAAACCCAGGCATTTCGCATGAAAGGCAAGTGTTCTGACCTCACCACCATCGGAGGCGCTTAAAATTTTTGCTTAAATACGCGTAATTAAATTGATTTCATGCAGTGTTATTAAAATTAACGAATTGTTTATAATTATAGATGAAATAAAATAGAAATGCTATTATTTATCGATTCTACACAAGAATATCTCATTTTAATGTATATTTAATATAAAAAACTAAAAAAATACTGTTCTGCAGGTTTTTGGTAACTCAGTTTATTTCAACTCAACTTTACAATGCAACTATATAACTGATAACATGAACATATAACGTCTATCATAAAAATAAAACTATGACGTCAGGATCTTCGACTTATATAGCTCGCCTAGAACCTTCTCGAACTATCCGTATTTTTCATGACAAGAAATGACATTTCTGGATTATTCTATTACTCGTACTTTTACTAATGACGACCGCAGGGTGATGGATAACATTGCTTCCTCTTCTCTTATTATTCGATCCCAATAACTTAATTAATGGGACCTGGTTGAAACCAACGGGGTCGATCTGGATCACGGTATGGCGCTAACGTTTTCCGCTGACAACTGAATGCGCTAGATCATGTTGATTTTCTTGCGGAGGCTGTAGGGTCCTTCCCAGTTGCGTTGCAGTTTCTAACAGAGTCCTTCTCGATGCTTGGGATTGTACAGCCATACTGGATCGCCTCTCTCAAAATATGTCCCTGTCAATTCTAGCTTTTGGTTTATTGCTATTGACTCTCAAACGTGACTGAGCGAATTCGTATACCTTCTTTAATCTTTCTCTTAAGTTTTGTATGTACGTCTGAGGTATTCGCTCCGTGCGAAGTCATGGAAAGGGAAGCAAAAGCGATACTAGCGCTAGCTGCGAATAATTCGTGCATTTTAGGGCGATATTTTGTAATTTTGGCATATCAAATACACGTACACATTTTACTTTTTTTTAAAAAAGTAGGTAAAAACAATACAATAAGCAAGCGGAGTTGCTGTGTTGAAAATTGTACAAATACTAGCAAAAAAAAACAGTGAAACCTATATAAAAAATTTCAGTAGCAAAGTGGAAATTAAATCAAAGAAGTAAATGGATAGGTATACAATAAGAAGAAAAATTACCTTTATTTTTGTAATAATAACAGTAATGCTGGAAATAGTAGACATCAGAAACTTGAAAGGTTTTAAATAAGCAATAAAGTATCATATTACGATGTTCTTTATTATCCCTTTATTCTTAAATATTTATTCAGCAAGGACTAGATTTCAAGATTGCTGTCTTTGATTATTATACGTGGCTGGAATGCAATTTTGTGACTTACTGATGGGAAACCAGTTTTAATCATTCATTCTGTTTTCTTTTGAACAAAAATGAAAATATATACAACGATCCTTTTTTTACTTTCCTATCTGTATACAGATATAAGGAAAGTATAGGAATCATGATTTTTTTCGACCTCGAGTTTTCGACGGATTTTATTTTACGTTTTGAGGTCCCCTGAATCCGTTTTGACTATTTTCGCGTGTGTGTGTGTGTGTGTGTGTGTGTGTGTGTGTGTGTGTGTGTGTGTGTGTGTGGGTGTGTGTGTGTGTGTGCGTGTGTGTGTGTGTATGTGTGTGTGTGTGTGTATGTGTGTGTGTGTGTGTGTGTGTGTGTGTGTGTGTGTGTGTGTGTGTGTGTGTGTGGGTGTGTGTGTGCGTGTGTGTGTGGGTGTGTGTGTGCGGGTGTGTGTGTGCGTGTGCGTGTGTGTGTGTGTGTGTGTGTGTGTGTATGTGTGTGTGTGTGTGTGTGTGTGTGTGTGTTAAATTCAGCGACCTCAAAAACCCAAACTCTCAATGTGAAAAGAGGATATTTACTTTTATATTCCTCGTTGACAGTCAATTGACAGATGTCAACTGTCAATTTGTCCAATATGACATGAGAATTGAATTCAGCGACCTCAAAAACCCAAACTCTCAATGTGAAAAGAGGATATTTACTTTTATATTCCTCGTTGACAGTGAACTGACAGCTGTCAGCGGTTAATTTGTCCAATCTGACATAAGGGTTAAATCCAGTGACCTCAAAAACATTACCCAATACATTAGAAAAATTAAAATTTGCTTTTGACATCTGTAAATAGTAACGAAAATGAATAGTTTTGCAACGGGTCAGGGGAGCTTTGGCAGCTCCGTAGCTGCCAAAATATTCATTTTGGCACTTTGTGCCCATGAAGACTTTTGTTCAGAATGACACAATCTACAACATATCAAAACTTCAGACAATTTGACAGAAACTCAATTTCCAAGGGATTATTGCGGGGTCCTTTGACAAAATGTGCAAAATTCTGATTTTTATGAAAATTGTTGAAATAAAAGTTGTTTGCGATATCGATCTCTATAATTTTTGTTTTTACATGATTTTTCTAAAATGGACCGTAATGGGAAAATTGTAGGAAAAGTGCTAAATTTAAATTTTTCAGTATTTTCATTTTCAATGAATATCTATAGAAAAATGTTTCGAGGTAGATGTATGTGGAAAATGTATACATTTATTTTATACTCTAAACATTTATGGAGGTGCTGCAATAGGTTGTACAAAATAACCGGAAAAAGCCTGTAATAACTAGATAGGAAAGTCATGTGTTGGACACATCAGATTTTTATACATTTTAACTTCACGCTATTATTAAATGGTATTTTTTTATTTTGCCAGAATAGGCTAATTCTTCAATGACAACTTATTAGACTTAAGCAACTTGTCATACATTTTTCAGTAAATAATGTTGCCTGCCTATATTTTATTATTGATTTTTATTGAGTATACATAATTTTATTTAATTTAAGCGATAAAAATATATAATAATATTAAATTAATGTTTTACTTGTTTTACAAATCCATATACTTTTATTAAAACTAACATATTATATACTTTTTAATTACGAATTATATTAAAAATTGTATTTGTCAGTATACGCAGAAATAGTCCATTAGTACCAAATTGAATTGGCGCTGCTGTCGCACACGGAGCGAATACGGCCCTCTTCTTCGCCAGGATGCTGCCTTCCAAAAAGAAGATTATGGGGAAGTTTTATCTGTGCTCCAGTAATCATCATGATCGATTCATGTTCGGAACTTCAGTAGGCTAACAGAAATAAAGGAATTAAAGTGTCCCAGTTCTTTTGATTCTCAGAGACGAACATTGAAAGATACTGGCACATGGTTTTATGGTATCTTACAACCATTTCGTTGGACTGTGGGTGGAGAAGCGTAGTGCATGTTTTTCCGATGCGTAACAGTTCCATCAATTCTTGAGCTACTGTCGTCACTTCTTGATTGGGAATAGGTGCTATTTTGGGCCACTTTGAAAAATAGTCCATAACAACCACCAAGTATTTGTTTCCCCTTTTTTTTAAGGTAAGTGTTTCGAAGATATTTATGGCAATTCGTCGAAAGGCTCGCCGGAAAAGTAGTGTGCCATTTTACTTCGGCTTCTTATTTTAGGCCTTTTTCTGCCATTATATAGGTCACTTTGTCCCTCGGTGAAGGCATTTTGACAATCCAGCATCCAGTCAAATAGACTACTGTTTTCAGTTAGTCGATAAAGAGGTTTAGGAATTCGATCAAAGTCTTAAACGAATTTCCGGTAATATGAGCATAGTCCAAGAAAACTCCTAATTTCCCTTGGTTTCGACCAATCTCTGACAGCTGCAATTTTCACCGGGTCAGTTTTAATTCCTTCTTTGGAGAAAGGATAATTCATTTTGGACTGCGACGCATCCCAACACGACGTGGGCATCGTACTATACCAAGAACAGAAGGGGGAAGAGAAAGTAATTGATTATTTTAGTAAGACTTTGGGAAAAGCTGAAAAGAATTATTGCGTCACTAGAAAATAACTTTTATATTCCACCGCTGTCACCAATGCTATGCAGGTGTTTTGTAACTCAGTTTATTTTAACTTAACTTTACAATGCAACTATATAACTGATAACATGAACGTCTGAACATCTATCATAAAATTGAATCAGTGAGTTCGAAAACCGTACAAATCCAAAATTTGAAATTTTAAAGTAAGATAGCTATTTTGTTTAAAATTTCTCTTCATCAATGAGCTTAAAAACCGTACTAGATACCTATCTGTTAATGGAGTACAGCTGATTACACCCGTGAAATTAGGCGAAAACCCGTACATATTCGTGACTCATTAAAATGTTTTTATTGTTTTTTTT